AGTGGTACAGAGCAGATAGAGTATCTCTCTATTAATGGGCATCACACAGGAGGTGAATGTGGCCCAGGACACAGCCTGCTCTTAGAGCTTACTCTATAATTACCCTGCTGGCAGCTGGTTCTCATCCTCTCCAAGAGGAAACCTGAAGTTTAGTTTGGAAAGTCTGAGCTGACTTTTTGCAAGAGAGCAAACTGCCCGGCAGAGTGAGACTCTGTCCTCCAAACAGCAGCCCAGCCAAGATACCTTGAGAGATGTGTGAGGGGGAGAGTGAGAGCAGATTCATGGAGAAGCAAGGACCACAGTGCTTTCCTGTGTTTCCTCTAGGAAACACTCCCAGTGCTCACTGAGCGGATGACTTCCTTTTTCCTTCCTATTTGATTGATCTTACTGTTGCAAAGTACAGTTTCTCTCTTAGGAGGAAATATATAAATGAAAGAGAGGGAGGGAGGGACGGAGGGAGGAGGGAGGGAGGAGGGACGAGGGGGGAGGGAGGGAGGCAAGGAAATTTTCTTCAGGCAAAGAAACCTTTCTCCATGGCAGGAAAATACAGGGCTGAAGAAGCTGCCGTGAAAACTCACAAGTCCAAAAGGCAAAGACGCTCGCACAGGAGGAAGGAAGCCCTGCAATCGCTCAGAAAAGGAACGCATATCATCGTCCTGCAGACTGATGCTGGAAAAGCTTATGGAGAAGCAGCTGGGGAAAGTGGCTGGAAGTGGGATGGGAGCCTCACAATTACACATCAAACTCTTACATCTCGAGGTGAACTAATCTAGAGGAAGGCGGCTGTGGGCATGGAGCTGTTAACAGCAAGGTTATTAGTGTGAAAGCTTGCAAATGCTATCCTGGCCTATTTAAGAGCTGAGCACAGCACCCTGTCGTCATACAGCAAGAAAAGGAGGAGGACGGAAAGCAGAGCTGTGCGTCCTAACTAGTTCAGCAGGTGGGCTGGCCACTGTGTTGAGTCGTCAACTCTGCATCCACTAACTGTGGGCTTCCCACATCTGCTGCTTGATCCAGGCTGATCCAGCTGCATTCCTGAACATCAGCACACAGGCTTTCCACTGTTGTTTGTGCGTGGTGAGGAAAAAATGTGCTTTGAACTGAGGGGGTAGCGTGCAGGTGTGGGGAGACAAACAGCAGGGCAGACCTGCCATAGGGTTAAAGATGCATTGCCCAGAAAAAAAGGCAGTGGGCCAGACCTGGCAAGCCATGGGAGTCCCAGTGTGCTGACAGGACAGCAGCAGTAGAGCAAACCTGTGTGTTCACCCACAGGAGCACATCCTGATCACAGTGCTCACACAGTGCGTTCAGGCAACTGATGTCTTCCCTCTGGGGACTTCACAGCCACTTAATGTGAAGTTTGGTCCTCAGAGTGGGGAGTCAAACATTCTTTGCTGTGTGTCAGCTTGCATTGTGAAATATCTTTGTCTTCTAACTCAATCCTATCAGTGTGGTTGACTGCCTCCCCTACTTGAAATGACTCGAGCTAGGCAACAAGCTTCTCAACAAGGCTGCATTCTACAGGGCACTGAGGACAGGGCTAAGCTCGGTCCCCACAGAGAGAGGAGGAGGAAGAATCCTATTTATTGTTTGTAAGAACCTTACAAACTAAAGGCCAAGAAAATCTCTCCTGTCCCTCAGAGAAACCTGACATCTCCATTCTCTCCCTGCACAGACCGGAGTCTGGATGGCAAAGTCATAGGACTGTTCACCTCAGGGGTGAGGAAGGGGCTCCTCCAGGAGTCAAAGTATTCCACAAGGAGAGTCATCTCCTTATTCATCAAACACAACTTGGGAAGATGAGCCCTAAAGTCTCGAGGACATCATGAACCCAAGAAGAAAATAACGTTAGGGCTACGGGGACACATTCATAAATATCCAGTCACTCCAGCCTACCAAGCCCCTCCTGGTTATTTCTGTAAAAGGTACTTCTTTACTGCGGCAGTGGCCTGGGGGCTTCCTGGCTTGGCAGGCACTACTGTGACAGGGGAATGCCCTGCAGAGATGAGTTGTGGAGCATTCTGTACACCTGCCTTCACTAGGCCAACCTCGCCACATCAGATTCTGTCCCAAGGCTTGCCTCTTTAGCCCACAACCACCACATGTACCACTTTCATTGTCACAAAACCCCGAGGTACTAAAATTTTGAAGGGGCCGAGCGATGGCACTCAGGAGGCAGAGGCAGAAGGATCTCTGTGAGATGAAGGCCAGCCTGGTCTACACAGTGAGTTCCAGGCAGGCTGGGGCTAGGGAGACCCTGTCAACAACAACAAAAACAAATTTTTGCAGGGAACTAGAAGAAAAGGGAGGAGACCTAATGATGATTTGAGATTGGTGAGTTCCAGACCAAAATTCTGAACTAAAAGACCTAGATCCACTTTCCTCAACTCCTTAACACTAACCTCAGCCTTAAATTCCCATAAACTGATCTACTGTTCTCTAACAAATCACTGATTAGTGTCTGATCCGGATTTTAAAAATCAAAAATTACATTTTAATGTATTCGAAGTGGTATTTTGTAATTTATAGTGTCTAGCTCAGTTCGCAACAGTAAATAAACATTGAGTCAAAGAATAGATGCAGAGAAAGCATCAGACACCTGAGTTGGAAATTTCTTAAAAGGAAGTCACTATTTGCCAATCACCACACATTCAATTCCAGGGGTTGCCACTGTTCTTCCCTGGTGGGCTGAACCTTATAAAATCCCATGGACACAAAGGACCTAGGGCTGCATGACCTTCAGAGTTCTTGCTGAGATGATTCCCAAACTTATACAAGGTCAGGGAAAACCCTGTAAAAGTAAGTACCATGATTTGCTGTATCTGAAGATCAGTGAAACACAGAAGAGCAGCCTCTTGCACCACCCCAGCTCCCACCCCACCTCGTGCCCCCTCCCACCTCCCAGGAGGATGCTCTGGGATCCACCTCTAAGCCTATTCTTCCAGCCCTTGCCAGGCAACAAAAGGCTTCCTGTCAGGACGCCTGAGAGATTTGATTTATGTCTTGTGTCCTCTCCTTCCAGGTGTATCTTTGGGAAGGAATCCAGTGTATCTTTGTGGATGAATGTTTGACCTGAGGCAGCTTAGGGCTGTATGGGGAAGGCCTGCCAGGCTGAGCCCAGTTCGAGAAGCCCCCAACACAACAAGTGGGAGGGGAGAAGCAGGCGGAAGGGCAATCACACTGCATGTCTACTGCACATGGCTTCTGCAGTTTTTTGTTCTTTGTTGAGACAGGATCCAGCTATGTAGCTCAGGCTGGTCACGAACGCAAGATCCTCCTACCTCTACCCCCAAGAGTTGGGATTATAGCACACACCACCATACCCAGCTCTTGTTACCATATTAAATAAACTCAAAATTGTAGAAGGCATAGGGTGTGGCTGCCCATGCTTATAATCCCAATAACTGGAAAGGCAGATGTAAAAAGATGAAGAGTTCAAAGCCAGCCTGTTTTACATGCTGGACCATGTTTTTAAAAAAATTTAATTTTTAAAAAGGTAAAAGGAAAAACAGGGTGTGACTCAAGCACAAGTAACAAAATGTACAGAAGACCAATTTTTTTTCTTACAGGCATTGTTGTCCTCTTGAAAATAAAACCATAACAAGTAAATGTAATTTTTAAAGGGGCCAGCAAGTTGGCTGTAGGGTAAAGGTGGTTGCTACCATGCTCAAAGACCTGAGTTTGATCCCCAGGACCCACATGGTAGGAGAGAAGCAAGTCCTGCAAGTTGTCCTCTGACCTCCACTTATGTAACTGCCCCCCGCCACACACATGTACATGTACACACAAATAAATGGATAAATGTAGTTTTTTAAAAACATAAGAAACATCCACTCTCATTAAGGTCTCTCTGGCAAGGTGTCTGAATGCCTCAGCTTCCATCCTCTGTCCATCTACAAACCTCCCAAGGATGTGTGTGTCGTGGCACACAAACCCCTTAGATTTACGTGTGCTCCCTCATGTGTGTATAGCTCACTGGAACATGGAACTTCACCCTTTCTGTACTTCAGCACATCTGGCTAAAGAAAACAAAGAGGAGGTAACTCTGAACAGACATGAAGACTCACATTACCTACCTGTAGGTAAGAAGCTGTAAGAACTCCAACCTCGCGGACACAATACAGGAATTAGGGAGAAAAACACTACTGAGCATAAGGCTGAATCTGTCCTCCAGCAAAATGGATCTGACCTGGGCGGCCACATTACATCCATGAAAAACTGAGCCCAAGAGAGGGAGGGAGTTGGGCCTCCAAAAGGACACAGCTTGTATTTACTGTTCCCAGAGGAGAGACTCCCAGCAGATTGGAAAGTCACTGGATTCTCCTACTGGTCAGGCGAGGACGGCCATCCTAGAAGGGCCCTGGATCAGCTCCCTGGCCAGGTCCAGACCTGCTCTGTAGCTCCAGGTGCTGACTTAGAATTCTCTTTCAACCCAGGGTGACTTGGGAAGTGGAGAGAGAAATCAGGCTCCTGTGGCAATGTCCTGAAAGGACCTTACTAGGACCACTGGCCAATCCCCTAATGATGGACATCTCCCCTTCCTGGGAAGGCACCCCGCCACAGACCATTTAAATCCTGGGTAGGGTAGTGCTGACACCTAGGGGTGGATGTAAAAACCGAACCATGGAAGAAGCACAACCTGGGCTGCTGCTAGAGCTGGTGAGGGGAACTCCACCTTCCCACAGCTTCAAATAGTTCCCACGGGCCCCTGGTTCCTCTACCATCCCCAGCCTGCCTCTCTCTGACATTAAAGGAGGTCCCCACAGATCTATAAAGAGATCCCCTCATATACAGAGATAGAGGCAGTTTAATAGAAGCTGGTCGGTCTGCCACTCTGTCTAGATAGACTTCCATCTGCCTGAGAGCAAAGAATGAAAAGATGGAGGCAGAGGATACGGCCCTCAGACACGATGCTCCCATGGGCTTCTTGTTCACTGGGGGCCTGGACTGGGAAGACAGGGGGTCCAACCCCCGACACAAGGCTAAGAACTGTGTCTTACCAAACTCGCTTGCACAGAGGTGTTCGATGATGGCCTCAGATTTCAATTCGTTGTCACACGGTGGACACACTGTTGTACCTAAGGCGGGAAAGGAGGAAGAAAGGAGCTGTAAGTGACAGTGGTGGGAACTCTCTGGAGAAGGGATCAGATAGGGGACCAGACTGAAAAGAGCTAAAGGTCTTCCAGAATCTGAAAGGCGTCCTGAGAAGGACAACAGAGGCCCCTCAAGCCCAGGATTAAAGGCATAAATGGAGGAATTTTTTCTTGAAACATTTTGACCTAGATATGTTGAATTTGGCAGTTATTTAAACTCCTATCTGAGGTAGGTAAGGGCAGGTCCTGGTTGCTGTGAGTCCCTGGAAAAAGCTGCTTTATAAATGAAAACAGATTATCTCCACTGTTCGTTTCCTGTCCTTCCCCCTCCTGTTACCTAGCTTCTTCTGATTCAGGACTGCTTCCTATTTGCAAACCCTGAACAAGACAGCCCATCAGTTTCACCAGGTCTCTCAGAACCAAGAGGAGAACAGTCATTCTCAGTAACTCAAACCCAGGTCCCAGAATACCCCTCTCCAAAAGGGCCACTGCCATAAGAACTCCAGGAAGCAGTCACAGGGTTGGGGGAGGGGAGGCACCACCAGAAAGAGCCACCAAATGGACGCAGAGATGGCTGGGGAGGAGACTTTTGGGATGCTCTTTCATGAAGCGCTTTGAAGAGGTGTGTGTGGTAGGCAGGCATGCAGCTAGGAGGTAGCTAGGCCCCTGGGGTGCCTCAGAAGCCAGGACCAAAGGTCTCTTCCTAGCCCAGATGCTGCCACCGCTGGAGAGACGCTCCTTTAAAAAGGCAGAGAGAAAGAACTGCAGTCGGGTCCTCCAGAGACAGAAGTGCTCATCACCCCTCCCTATACCTCCTCCTCACCATCATCTGTCTGACAAGTTGGAGTTTGCTGAGGATGTAAAGAACTATAAGCACTCTAAGCAGTTCACTCCTGGAACCCTGGACGTGGGAGGCAGAGCCTGGCTGGAGCTAAAAGGAAGCCACCCTGAGGTGAAAACCAAGGTGGTGCTTGACAAGCTGAGCACTTCTGCTCCTTGCCCTTCTCCTGTCTGCAGTGGCTTCAGCAACAGTAGCTCCTTCCCATGTCCTTCCTCCATGGCTCAGGCTATAAAATGGGCAAAGGCCCCCACAATGCCCCCCTCAGAACTAGCTGCTCCCTAGACCTCTCCCTCCAGGGCCCAGCACAGAACACACACCCCAGTTTGTATCCACCAACACCTCGTCCACCATACCGTACCAGGACTGACATCGTTCAGATTCTTAGTGCAGCAAGAACCATAGTCCAAGACTCTTTGGCCAGACGCTGGATGTGCGTTTTGCACTCAGAGCTTGAGACTGGGTTTTAAAAGTAATATATCTGACCAACCCATCACCACCACCAAAAAAAGATTCTTACCCAGAATTTTCCATCATGGTTTTTGCTTCCATGCAGAGAAAGAAACAGAAAGATGTTATAGAAAGGACCATGTGATCTACAACAGGAATGCGAGCTGTGCTTTTGGGTTTTCCTTCTTTAGTTGTTCAGTGTGCTCTTTTTAAGGTAGAAGTTATCACATTACAAGGTTCAAGGAGTATGATGTTGACCAAACAAAATCAGGGCTCCTGAATTATAAAGATGGTCTCACAGGTCTCCACACACTAATGGCTCCTTTGGGTTCCCCTGATCCTGCTGGCACTCAAGAGCTCAGCACCCCAATAAGACATTTTTTTCAGTCCATCTTTCAGCTTGGCCTTCAAGGACTCTCAGTGGCATGGGCTTGGGGGGAGTGCTTTGTGTTTTCAACATGGCTTTCCCTCAATTCTTCTTACAGCCAGACGCTGAGCAGCTTTGGCCAGGGAAAGTAGAAGGAATGTGTAATGTAATATTAATCTGTGCCCCTCATGTGTCTTTGGGGCCCTAGAGGCTGCCTCACAGGAGAAATCTGTCTAGGCTTCCATCTGAGAGGTGAACCAAATCACAGTTGGAAAGTGTGTTTAAAATGTTTAAAGCACATGAATAAAAAAAACAAAAGATTATGTTTTTTGTTAATGTTTTAGGGAAAGTAGAGGGGGAGGCCAACTCTGGAATCAGGATTAAAGGAACTTTTAAAATCAATGCACACACACACACACACACACACACACACCCCATACAAGATCCTTCCCCTCTCAGATTTCTCTCTTTTCTCTTCACACACATCTCATACATACGAGGTCGTTCTTCTATCACACACAGATCTTTCCGAGAGAGAGAGGAGAGAGAGAGAGAGAGAGAGAGAGAGAGAGAGAGAGAGAGAGAGAGAGAGAGAGAGAGAGAGAGAGAGAGAGAGAGAGAGAGGCAGAGACAGAGAGAGACAGAGACAGAGACAGAGAGAGAAAGGTTTTCCTTGGGCAGGAAAAGGGCACTGAGAGAAAATACCCTAAGGGGGGCTCTGGGGAAGCGGCTCCCTGGCCTCTACAACCTTTGCCTAACAGCCTGGCTGATTTAATGCAACATCCTCAACAACAACACAACTGAACTAGTTGGACTCACAATTCCTTGGTGAAACCTAGCAGGGAAGGAGAAGGGAAAATACTGGACTGGTCCACTGCACATTCAAGACTTAGAAAGCACACTCCTGGGACAGGAACAACTGGCTTTCCTCGAACAGATGCCAAGCTAGCTTGGCAGTTACCTTTTGAGAGAAAGAAAACAACCTTTGGCTCATTATCAGGCTAACCTTTATTAACAAAGGGCTGGCCAATACCCTAAAGCCATATACGACCAAGAATGTGCACAAAAACATCCAAGGTGTACAAAGATGTAACGCTGTGTTGAAGATTCAGTTTTAAAAGAATACAAAGAATAAAGGGTCAGTGAGTAATGGAGTCGTGTATCTGTATGGAACTTCTCTCATTCTAAAATATCAGGTCTTGCTCCAGAGTCACCAGCCTTAAGTTCTAAGGATCATTAGTTTGATCTGTCTCAACCTTTCTCTACATACACGGTGCATGCATGCACACACACACACACACACACACACACACACACACACACACAGAGTTCTGTGCTCAGCTGAGGGTCAGCAGCCAGGCAGCCTGGGGGAGGGGTTGCGCATCACAATGGGGTGGGGCACCTTCAAACCGAGGGGCTGCAGGGAGAAGCTTGGGCAGATAAGACAGAGTCTCTTACAGAAATCAAAAATCACTGAGGAGAGAACCAGTCCCAGTCACACTCCTGACTATCCCATCTGTTTGCTCTTTATTCAGCAAATAACTGCTCTACCAGAGCCCAGAGCAAGGAAGGAGCGGAGACAGGAACAGCAGTGACCACAAGGACATCCAGAAAGGGGCAGTGCTGGGGTTGCCTTCACCCCACCAGACTTTTGGATGGCTTCGGTTAGGGAGCTCTCCCCTCAAGGCAAACATCACCCCATCTGGTTCTCTTATCTTTCCCCAGAACATCAGTCACTCTGCCCGAAGCTGTTGCCCCACAGGTTTCCACTTTTTATGCCCATGGGGAGTGGACATAGTACAAGCAAAGCTAGCCACAGGCTCTCCAGGCAGGCTCAGGGAACAGGAGGCTCCAGGGGGACTGAAGGCATAGGGCTTTGGTCTGGGGAAATGCTCAGCCAGAGTGGGCCAAGGTTGCATATACAAGCCCTTAGGGCAAGAGTGACCAGAGCTACTGCTTACCTTACAGGCTGGGGCCCATGGCCAGCCAAGGTCCATCACTAGGAGTATTCAAACTGCCCTGACACGGGGCAGCCAACTGACTGCTCATCCATCTTTTTCTTTTTCTTTTTTTTTTTCAGCAGCAACAGAGGTTAAAGTCACTGAACAAGCACCACTTGGTGGTACATGCCTGTGACTCCAGATCTGGGTAGGCTGAGACAGGAGAGATTTGTGTTCCAAGACCAGCCTGTGAAAAATACCAATATCCCAAGACCCTGTCTCAAAAAGTTAAGACACTCAACACTTCAAGATGAGCTAAAGTCTCCTCAAAAATGTCCCCCAGATGCTGGCTTCTGAGGGCCCCTGGACAAGAACATCTGCTGCCCCTGAGCCTCATCCCACAGGGGTGAGCCCAGTCCTAAGAAATTCATTTCTCCAGACTGTGGTGCAGTTTCTGGTCCTGTTTGTTTTTGCTCTTTTTTTTAGGCTCCAGATGTTATGGCATGAATTTTTTTTTGTTTTTTTTTTTTTTTTTTTTTTTGGTGGTGGGGGTGGGGGTTTCCCCTTCTCAATTAAAGAATTGTCCTTTCCACGGAAGGGGTTCCAAGTGGAACCTCAGGTCCCCAAGATTTTGGAACTTGCAGTGTCCAATTTGCAGGTCCTCACCCCCCAGGGGGAGATAAACAATGAGCTAATTACATTTTTATCTTTCTAATTACCTGAGGATTTCTGCGAATGGGGGGCGGCTATGCAAGGATGGTGGGCAAGGGATTTTGCATTCCCTAAACTTGCAGAATTCTGGGCTGCTGCCTGGATTTACAAGTGAAGAAAGAGAAGCGCCCAGTTTCTAAACTTGTTTTCTTCAGTCAGTTCCGCTACTCAGCTGAATAACGAGCTAAGGAAGGAGTTTTAGAAACTACTCTTTGAACTTATGAAAATAAACAAAGCTTCTCCATTCCCTCGCTCTGAGTTTTCTACACTTTTAAGGGAGGGTTGTTTTCCTCCGGGAGCACGTGTGTTAACAACTTTGGACCGGGACTCAGCGCCCTCCCTGAAGAGAGGAGAGCTCTCCCATTTAAAATACGGAGCTTTGTTTCAGGTACGGAAAACCACAGGCTGGATGGATCCCTAGAAGAGCCTCTAGAAACCCGACCACGTCTTTCCTGGCGGAAGCGCAGCCGGCGCCCCCAGTGATCCCGGGCACCTGGGGCGCGAGAGGCGCAAAGCGCAGCCCGGAGAAGTGGGGTCTGCACACCTTGCGGGCCACGGCCTCTCGTCTGCGCTCGGCGGACCGCGGGCAGGGGGGGTCCCCGGGTTCCCCGCCGCAGCCCCGGCCTGTCCAGCGGGACGTGCCCCGGGTCTGGGCTCCCGACCGGCGCGAGTGGGAAGGCGCGCCCTTACCTTGGGGCTTGGAGGCTTCGGTGGCGTTGGGCGGGGTCATGGCGATGCAGACGTCGCCGTCCGGGAACTTGTCACACTTGAGCATCTCGGGCCAGTGGAAGCCGAAGAACTGCATGACCGGCTCGCACGAGTCGCGCACCGCCTCGCAGAGCCAGCGGCACGGGTAGATGGGCCGATCCAGGCAGACGGGCGCGAAGAGCGAGCAGAGGAAGACCTGGGTGCCCATGTGGCAGTTCTTGTTGAGCAGCGGCACCCAGCTGCTGGCCTGCTGCTTCACCTCCGCCATGGTCTCGTGCTCCAGCAGGTTGGGCAGCACCATCTTGTCGTAGCCCACGTCGTGGCACAGCCTCAGGTCCGCCGGGATGTCCACGCACTGCGGCGGCTTGCTGTAGAAGCGCCCGCTCTGGTAGGAGCCGACGTCCGACTGGAAGCTCACGTAGTCGTACTCGCCGGCCGACCCCGCGCCCAGCAGCGCGGCCAGCACCAGCAGCACGCCCGGGACGGTCCGGCCGCTGCCCCCCGCGCCTCGCCCGCTGCCCATGCTGCTCGGCGGCGTCGGGGTCCCGTCGCCAACCTCCCGGGAGCGCGGGGACAAAAGGCGCGGTGCCCGGGGCCGTCCGGCTCGGTC